CTGGTTAATCAGTAACTAAACCCATGCCATTACTCACGTATAAATTTTTATACCTTTTTCCCCCTTTTTATTCTTCTTTTTTCCTTTTCTCTCTCCCCCTTATTTATTCTTCTAGCAATCCAGCCACCCATCATAGCAAATCTTCTCTCCCCTTCTTTCTTCCACCCACTCTTGAAAAGCAGTTCTTTCTTTCCTTTTTCCTTCTCTCTCCTGCTTTGATCTTCCACTCCACACCAGCCGATGTGATATCAAAAATTTGATGGATAGGTTAATTTGTATGTTGATGATGATTCAGCTTAAGCTGCTTATTTTAGGAAAGGAAATACATGATAATATTTTTCATGGTTATGATTCATGAGTGCACTAGCAAAGGAGCATCTCCTGGTTGCATACTTGCATGATTAAAGTTGACTTTAGGAAGACATATGAAAATTTTGGTTAGATTTTCCTTTGGCATGTTCCAAATGATCATGACTTGGGTTCTCGGACAAATTAAATTTCTCGGTTAGATAATGAATGTGTTGAGACTCTTTTCTTCTATGTATATTTATATATCGGTCTATTATGCGCTCTTACACCAGAATGATGCGTAAATGATGACATATCATGCGTAACAAAGGGAATGTTATGTTCTTGTGTAAATGTTGTTATACATTGATGGTACCATTAATCACAGTCATGACCCAAGAATGAATTAAGGAAAGCCATTACACGGGAACAACGAATCCAGTCCATTAATCAGGATTGATAATTAATGGGTCTAACTCGGGAACAACCAGGCCGTTCTGGATAACATATCTCGAGCTTGGGCAGGATTCTAGTGAGGCCGGACCCACCCTATGGCTTTTGTGGCAGGCTATCATTCTTGCATAACTATCTGGCAGCGGCAGGAAACTAACGGAAGAGACGTGGACCTAAGAAAATAATGATTGCACAATAATTGGGACCTTACAAGACTCCTATCATAATTAAATGTATTAAATGCATCGGTTTTATTTCCTGGAATGACTGTAACACTAGGTTTATAAATACTTCCTCTACATACTCAAAAAGGGACCCCTTTTTGGAATAATGCTGCCTTGCGTTGCTCAAAATTCATTTGCTTTTGTAGATTAATTAGATCTCGTAGTTGGAATTTAACTCCATTATACATAATGTAAATGTGTATGACGATGTGTAGGGATTATCGACTTTGTGTGTGTGTGTGGGGGGGGGGGGGGGGGGGGTATTGATAATATAAATAGTTTATATTTCGTGTAAATGTGACACATTACATTATAATTGTTATTATGAATGTCATAAAAAAATACATGTTTGGGGATATTGATATTATAAATAGTTTATACTACGTATTTCTTAAGATAGTGTGGACTGTCCCACTTTGTACTACACACTCAAGTTCTCCTCATCGAGTCATCCATGTATGTGATGAGGGAATAGAATATAAATTTGAACTGAAAGTTTTGGATACCATTTGGATTTCAAAATCAATTCAATGATTTAAATGTAACAATAATAATGCAATGTCCAACACAAAAGAAATATTAAAACAAGGGCTTAAAACTTAAAAGTGTTTAAATGTTTATCAACATGTTAAGAAATTAAAGTGAAATATCAAAGTTCACATCAACTGATTGAATGGTGTTTTTATTGCCACCAAAATCAGAAATAATGAGGCTAACATCAACTTCATTTTCTTCTTCAGTCACAAAGTGAGATTCATATTCCTTAGATCCTCGATACCTATTCTATGCGGTTGCGACTTTATTGCTAGCTTGATAATTCTAGAACCAGTGTCCGAAAATTCCACATTTGTAGCAAGATTCTTCACCAACACTTTGTGGGTGCATTGTTGACATTGTTTCCTTGAACATTTGTGTCAATACCACATCTCTTCTCCATACTTTAGAAGATCCTCCTCGGCCCATACCACGAGCATCACGACCCCCAAAATTGCCGCGACCTTTCCAGGTTGTGAACTTTGTCCATGGGAGTAAGGATTGGCTTGTCTTTCCCCCTTTGCATTGATGATTCTTCCAATACTTAATTATTTTACCGTAGTAAGATTCCGGAATTTTCTTTGTCTTCCTCATTGGTCTAACTGTCACGCCTCAGACCGCATCTGAGCGCGTAAACAACCGCCGCACAATTAAGTGATGTCACCCTTAGGTTACCCTCACTCGGTAAGTAAACATACATAACATCATCAACATTAAATCAAATGAATAGTGGAAATATTCGATGTTTGATCATGTGCCACATCCGAAAAATATGGGCGCGTAGGCCCAAAAGAGTTTATCTTAAATCCAAATATTCATGAACATTGTTTATTAATTTGAAAATATGATAAGGGAAGCACAAACCACGTCTTCCTTGAATTGACACCACCTGGTGCAAAGGTGCAAGTATCGAGCTCAAGCTTCAACCTGAAAAATGTTGAGACCCCCCCCCCCCCCCCCCCCGAAGGGGTTAATACACTCGTGCTGGCGAGACGTAGGCTAAATGTAGAATAACTAACGTTTCAAGCATAAGACCCAAACATAGGTTAATATAATACATACACGTATAGCTTTCCCAAGGTTTTGAATACATACATAAGTATACACTTAGAGAACATTCAACTCGTAGGTAATTTATTTACTAAGGAAAAATACATTAGTCGAACTCTTGACATATTCATTCCCACATCCACCCAAATTACCATGAATATGTATATGACTCCTCCTCCTGGCCCTAATGAGTATGTATGGACACTGCCCGGCTCCGAGTTACTCACTCGATAAATCTTACGAGTTTTGAGAACAATTTTCGTTCCTGGGTACTCCACTAATATCATATGAGTTTTGAGGACAACTCTCGTCCCTAAGTACTACACCAAGTATTTTATTTATGACTTTTGAGGATAATTCACATCCTTGAGTACTCCACCAATAATTTATGAGTTTTGAGGATACTTCCCATCCTTGGGTACTCCACCAATAGCCTATGAGTTTTGAAGACAAATCACGTCCTTGGGTACTTAGCCAATATTCTATAATCTACCACATTCCACACCCGGATATGATCAAAATCAATAATCAACACTAAGACTAGACCAAATCTTAAGTTTACGTACATTTTTCAAGTCAAACGGAACCAAAAAAACTGTCCCAAGGGACAACTGATGTCGGACATGCCTACAATCGGCGCTGGTCCAGGACATAACACTCAGAGTTATAATTTACACATAACCGGTACCGGTCACACATGAAACGGGTGATGGTTTGGCTATTTTCGACAAGTCAATGGTTCGTTGATTACAAAGGTCAATCCCAATTTACATAAAACTTAACTACGCCATATTTTAAGTCATTAACAACGAATATACACATTTGTGGTCAGGCAAAACATTTCTTAAGATTTTATTAATATATTTAGCCTCTTTCATGCAGAATACTCTAGTTTAATCCGCATACTCTTAATCATTTTAGATTATCATATGCTTAAGCAATTTTAAACATCCTTATAAACACACAAAGTATTACTTTAGGTAATCTCATACTTAACTCAAGAGTTCTAAGACATTAAACCGTCGTCTCACCTTAGATGAGCTTTATGAAGTTCTACCCTCTTCGGTTTACCTTCGACGAAACTCCGGCGACCTTTGGCGATATCTAAGGTGACTTCTCAACTGAGTGAGAATACTACAAACACCATATACAAGTCCCTACCAAGGTCATAACCCCAAAAGTCATATTAACAAGTGAAATCCTTTAAAGGTTACTTTCCTACGAACCAGTAAACTTTCGCTTCTAAGTCTGTTCTTGGACATAGAATCACCTTCAAAACCTTCAGTTTACACCTCTAAACGTGTATACTGATGCTAAGGGTGCTCCATATGACTGACTTTATCTATTTTTTCTCTTCTTTTTCCTCCTACTCTTTCTTCTCTTTTCTTGCTTCACTTCATCTCCCTTTTTCTTAGTTCGAATGGAGGTGGTAAGGATGATGTTTAGAGACCACTTTTCTTCTTGTTTGATGTTTGGTTCGAAATGAGGGAGGTGGGTGAGTGAGAGGATAGTCATTTTGGCTTTTCTCATAAATCATGTGGGAAGAGGTCCCATTTTCTTTCACGTTTGGTCTCGCCCTCCATCTTTCTATTGTCTCTCCGCCTCACTAAGTCACTCAGCCATCTAGATGGCTGACTTTTGGAAGATATTATTTCGTTGGTGGCCCCCGCTATTTTGGGTGGTCATCCATTAATTCCCCAAAGTATTTTTTACCCCAAAAGTTACATTTCGCATACGACTTTGATTAAGTTCCTTTTTATCGACACAAATAAAACATATAGCATCATCCCAATTAATATGAGTCTCTAGGATGAATGTATATTATTCAACCTTAATTTGGTGGTCCCTGAGATTTATTATGGGACTTGTGGATTGTTGCGCTTACCGATACACTAAAAGAAAACGTTGATAGTGTAGCACACTCTCCCCCTTTATAGAACAATCAAAGCGGCACAATCGGTTGTACGGCGGGCTGGCAGAACTGTTGGCATCGCATACCCGCGACCTAGCAATCCCCTTGCACCTGCCAGCCTACAACTCAGCAACATGCTGTTGTCGGGGATCATACCTGTGACCATTGGCTCTGACACCAGTTATGGATCATTGCTCTTACCGCTACACTAAAAGCAATTGCTTATCCCGTAATTTATCAATACTAGTTTATGGCCTCGTTTGGTCAATCGGTTGACCCTATGTCATTTATATGGCTATGCATTCAGGTTTTAAGAACGGTTTTGCTCCGGATCCAATATTAGTATTACGTGTAATCGTGACTATAGAAATTGGTTGTGTTCCCTGGTTATTTCTTGAGTCAAGTCTATTAAAAGAATATAAAAAGTCAGTGAGTGAAATAGACTGATCATAGATTTATTTTGGAGGAAGCAAAACCAGTTAGATGGTTTTGCACATCCGGTCCAGCTTTGTTATGGACTCGGGGTTAAGAATACTCATGGGATTTTTGTGATGTTGAATTTAAAATAGTTCATGTAATAAAATAATGTATGAATTGACAATGAAGTGTGACATCACCGAAAGTGAGATACTCAGATTAGAGTGTGCTCGTATGGGAACTGTTGCTAAGACTAGCGTTAAATTTAGGTAGTAAAACAATAAAAACGACAACATTCACAGAAGAGTAATTAAAACGATGCCAATCCACAGAAACTCTCAAACCGAGATGTAATAAACCACAAACAATACAGTAAGAAGAGTAAGTACCATGCTATCCCACTTATGGCCTGGAGCAATAACACCACGCATCTGCTGCACCATCCTTGCCAAGAGCCAGAACAGAACACCAAGTCTGTGTTTTCCCTTATTGTTTGCAGGGATTCCAATATCAACATAGCGCATGGGTGAATCAGTGTCACAAAAGGCAATAGTGGGAATGTTCCCAAGGGCTGCTTCCATGATGGGCTGCAAAAGTTTCAAATAAAAGATAAAATCCAATTCTAAAATATGAATTAGCTACTACTACATTATTTAACACTCAATCCGCCAATGACTCTAAAACAGGGGCTTGAGAGGGGTAACCTGGTGATCATTTCTCGGATCAGTGAGGATGAGAAGGCGGGGTTCACTGAATGAGGTTTGCATCTGGTTGGTGAAAGTTCTAGGAGTGTGACGTCCAGCAATAGCTTGGGCTCCAGTGTACTGAGCAAACTTCAAGACAGCCCTCTAACCATATGTTCTAGCAGATTGTACAATAATGTCCTTAGGTATCTCAATTGCAACAATGACACGTGCTGCAAGCTGAAGCTTTTCCCATGTCTTCATGATGTTAATGATGAAAATTCATGTTAGCACGCAAGAAAAATATATCAATAGGTAGCTTGTCACTAAAATTGTTAACATAATAGCACTTATATCATTAAAAAACTACATTGTCCAAATGTTAATATCTCTTTCTAATTACTATTCCAAACTTCAAACATATTTCTCAAATTATCACATACTTGAGCTTTCCACTATACTGTAACCACTAACTTTTCTTTTACCGAATGAAGAGAATAATGATGGAAAAAGTACAAATCTTTAGTGATTTATATTGTCCGTGATGATTTTCCTACTAAAATCCGAATTTTATTATGCAAATCGAGACATGATTTCATACTTCATGATGGTCCCGGATAGGGTAAAAGTCTAGAGGAGGGTGAATAGACTTTTAAATCTTTTCGACCTTTACAAAGATTTCCCTCTAGAGGAGTTGGTCTATAATCTTTTGAGAGATTAATAGATGCACAACGGAAGTCTTTACCCTTTATATAATAATATTTATACTCTGGCCCAATCTGCGAACCGATCCTTTGATGCACTGGCCCATCAATCATTTGGCCTTGATGCTTTTGGACAATACATGACAATACCTCCCCCTTTTGACTGAGTCGATCGTTTTAATTAGGGAGAAGGCTAAAAAAGGATACTAACGTTGTTTGAGAATCTCGAATAACTTTTAAATGGACAACATTAACACATAAGTTATTTTTTTTGATAAAATTTGGCCACCCACCCTATTTTCAATTTAACGGGGCTCCAATCTGATCATACACCGTTCTCATGCGCCTCCCCTCCTCTTTTAGTCTAGAACATGTCATAATCCTCTTCTCTTTTTCTCATTTCTTAAGTTCTAAAAGGTGTATAATTATTTTGTCAAACTTCTCCACCAGACATGTTTCTCTTTGAGTTCCTTCATCTCAAACGTGTGAGAATAGATTATTAATACACCAAAGATGAATAAACATAGAAGTCGAACAAGTGGAGAAATTGCACAAAAGAACTCTAACAAGTTTCTTGCTCTTCTTGGTTGTACTTCTTCTAATGGTCCCGGTTTGACTCGACATTTACATAGGCGGTGTTCAGAAAACTATTGACGCGTCTAGTGAAATTCATGGTAAACCGGATAAGCAAAAATGAATCTGCCACACAGGTCTCGTCGGTTCTTGGGGAAGTTGTTCACCTCCGACTGGTAGTGGTTGCGTAGGATACACCACCTGCGGAGAAATTATGCCACGGGAGGTAACATAATTAACCGGAGCTTCAAAATCAACTGCACCAACTCACCAAATCCACTGACAGAGAAAGGGAGTTTTTGACCTATGCGCAGGGTGCCATTGAGCCTTGCTCAACAATCACCCCCTACTCTGACATTGGATATGCCTGGAATTGAAGCGAATTTCGGTTCGTATTTCAGAAACGTTAAAGCTGGTTTGTGACCTACTAAGAACAACAATGGAGTTAAATAAATTCAATAAGCCTTTGGAGCAATTCATGGATTTGTATTCATTTCGTATGTAGCTTTAAATGAAAGGGATAATGAATGTTTAATGTTAGAATGGACAGTCCAGTTAAGGAAATGTTAGTGGATGACTAAATGTAGCTCAACTAAGTTATTTATATGTATTCGATCCACTTAAAAGATTAGTGGCCAATTTAAATTCACAAATAACCTTAATGTCTTATTTGAGACTTCACCCTTTAAATTATGTTTTCACAGCACATATATTTTTTTTTTTATTTTATTAATAAAATATGTTTTAAAATTAAAACATATTTACTGAATTTTAAAACATAATCAAAAAATTCAGAATTTCATCAATTTCAACAAAATCTTTCAATTTCACCAATTTTAATACTCCCTCCGTTTTTTTATTTGCAACGGTCAACATTTCACATTTGCCAACACCAATCATTGACCGTAATTATATCTCAATTCTATTAGTAAAAAATATTAAAAATCGGATTTTGAAAAATTGTAATAAGATGAATTGAACGATATTTTTTTTAAAAATAATTTTCATAAAATAATAGCGTAAAATGTAGTCAAAGTAAAGCATGTGAATAGTGTAAAATTCAACATGTTGCGATTAAAACAGAACGGAGGATAGTACTAAACAAGTCCTATGTGTTGTATGCAAATGTAAATGGGGGATTTATTCCTCCGAGCAAACTATGTTATACGTAGTACATAGTGAGATTAAAACATATGTACAATATACAATAAAGATAACTCCATATTCACTTTCCATGTTGTGAACTTCTGATGTTCACATATTGAATATGTAAAGCCGTTTTATTGGAATATTATGATCTTATAAAGGGAATTTTATAATGCATAGATATGTATTCTTGAGTATTGATATAGATAACCAACATCATAGTATTTTAGAGGTGTCAAAATAAGATCTTATCGGTTGTGAGTCAGTTCAAATAAAAACACTCTTAGAATAACAATTACTCCGTATTAAAATTTGAAACAATGGCACATATATTACCTTCTCACCTTTCTTTGGACAAAAATATGACCAAAATTAGTTTTGCCATAAATGTGATCAATTAAACCCATCCCTTCCCCTTTTTTCTTGTGCGCTCGTAGACCAACCCCAGGAAACATGTTTCCCTTCTTCAATTCGTAATAGATACAACAACTCCGAGAGCGGTTGTTGCAAGGAGCAGTCTACCATCTCCCCCACTCCTCTGCAGACATAGCCTCACCATCGCCCTTCGCAGACAGGGCCACCGACATCGCCCACCGCCAACAGAGCCGCTGCCATCACCCACCTCCGATAGAGCCGCCACAGCAGCCCTTCACGGACAGAGCCGCCGCCATCGCCCTCCGCGAACAAATCCGCCGCCTTCACCCTCCATGGACAGAGCCGCCGCCATAGTCTTCGTCGTTGTCTTCGCGGATAGACCCGTCCTTTACCTACGCACTTGTTCGGAGTTATCGTCTGCCCTACCGTCCAGATCTGTGACGACATCGTACCTAGGGTTTATAGGCAGTGCGGCGCTCCGGCGGCGAGGTGCAACATCGGCGCTGGTCCAGATCCGGATGGAAACAACTAGAGTTGGGATTGGTTGGGGTATTTGCGATGGTTTGGGACAGGATTTGTGCCTGGGGAAGGTATGAAGGGACTGGGGAGGGGGGCTAAGGATTGGGGAGGGGGGATTTGGGGGCTGACTCGGCTGAGGATTGTAGGCTAGAGGTGTCAACAGCGGAAGTAAGTCAGGTGGCGAGATGGCGGCGGCCGAAATGTTAGGGTGGCGAAAACAGCTGCGGGTGGTCGTCAACATTTTGACCGGAAAAAGTCGCCGAAAATTTTTGCGGCGACACAGTGACACTGTTTCACGGCGGCATAGTGACACGTTTCACGATGTCAGTGACATCCTAAATTTACATAAAACCGGCAATGACATTCAAAAATGACATAAAAATATGGAAATAACATGACAGTGACATGAAAATCCGACAGTGACATAAAATTTTGACAGTGACATCATGTTTTTCCAAATATATCACATTCTTAGTCACATTTTCGTCCTTTTTAAAAAATGGTCACATTTTGGGAAATTAGCTTTAATTTAGTATTATTGAAGGAAAAAGCCCTTAAAATTTCTTATATTCAGCCCCAGAAACGGCACCCATCTTTGTAAGTGAAATTTTCCGGAGAAAATACTATATACTAATATACCCTCTAGAAATCCATGGACTACAAGTCTACAATGAAAAGCATTAAATTAATTAATAGATATGTTGGTTAAAGTAAATATCATCACAACGCAGTTTTTTTATTTGAGCCAAAGGAAATAAAATATTTCCACGCACGGTTACTAAGGAATGGCTTGTACTGAACAAATCTAATCCCTAACTACGCAAATTATATCGTACATCTGAGTGTATCTGTACACCCAGTATTTTTGTAAATATACCAACTCCAAGCTTCTGAATCAGCATTCGCTCCACCCTCTTTCCTCTTCCGCAGGCATCCTCTTCGCTCCATGCTCTTTTTTCTTTCGCAGGGGGTCTTTTTTCCCCTCTTTTCTTTCTTTTCTTCCACCGCATCCTCGTTTCTTTCTTTTCTTCCACAGCATCCTCGTTTCTTTCTTTTCTTCTGCCGTTCCTGATTGTTACTTCGTACCATTTTAGTAATTAGGCAATCATCCCTTGATATTTTGAAACCAGATCCTGAAGACATGTTTTAGAAATCGGTAAGATCTTTCCAACGAGATATTAAACGCTTTCAACGGCACAAAATAGAGCAAGATATGATCGCATCAAATTCTACACCAGTTCGGAGTGAAATCAGAAACATTTGTCAATATAAGGTTAATCTGTAACTTTTAATTAATGCATTGTAAATGAAGTTGGAAAAATAGCTTTAGAGCTCCGATATATCTTTCCAACGACATATAATACGCTCCAAACGGATAAACACACAGCAAGATATGAGTGGCACAAGTACTTAGCCTTATCTCTATGATTTAGCGTTTTCAGCAAAAATAGAGCACTTTTAGCGCAAGTACAGTGTATTTTAGTAATTAGGCAATCATCCCTTGATATTTTGAAACCAGCGCCTGAAGACAAGTTTTAGAACTCGGTAAGATCTTTCCAACGAGATAATAAACGCTTTCAACGGCACAAAATAGAGCAAGATATGATCGCATCAAATTCTACACGAGTTCGGAGTTTGATGTCACAATTTTAAACTACCTGGTTAACAACTAAATGCAGCTCATGAATTTTTAAAAACTCACAATTTACATTTCAAGTTTCAACAATGGCAGCTATCAAATAATGTAAACAGTGGCAAATACTGCAAATGAACTTGTAATCACTCAAGAATGAAAGCATAATCCCATATCAGTACCTAGCTTTGGCAATGAAAGGTCACGCTGAAATATAACATTGATGCTGATTTTGAGCATATCCAAGCGTACTGAATGAATTTTAAACTTGTCTGTACCCTATTGCTTCCTCTAAGAAACCCCTTAACAATCCTGGATTGAACAAAAGATGAAAATATAATTAATAAACACTGGACCAGCAACAAACTGACAGTAAAAGAGAAAAACACACTCATAAATATAATTTGGAATAAAGATACAATAGTACACTTGACCTTAAACATTATACCACAAACCTATAAATGAAAACCTACAAAACGACATGATGTGGTGCCTTCAGTACAAAACGACACTTGACCTCGTGTCCAGCACTCCACCGATTCAGAGATGCCTCAAAAGCAGTACGGCCCCAAGCTTCACGACCTCCTGCAACCAAAGATATGACCGAGTTGAAAGACCCAGAGCTATCTACTGCGGTGCGTGGAGAGAGCACACCAAGAGGACACTACCTGGTCTCACCGAGTTGGTCGAAATCCACATATTACACACATTTATAATTGGGGATGGAAATAATCAATAAATGGACACTACCTGGTCATTGCTATGGAATTCAGCCCAACAATCATCTGAGGTTAAAGCATCAGATTGATGATAGATTACATGTAACGGAAAATTAGCAAAAAACATCATCAGAATCAATATAGAAGGCTTATTGAACAGAAACATGAAATAGTGTCAGGCTTATCACGGAAGGTTATATCTAGATTTTTTCCTTTATTGACATAACTATGCCCAAGCTTAGCAAGACTACTTGAAACAAGAGCATCAACTGTTTGGAAATGAAACCTTATATTTCAAAAAACTTAAAAGATCTGATTTGATATTAGAAGCACTAATAAATTTCAGACACAGTATGCACTTGAAATGTTACCACTTTCTGTTATCATGTTCTCATCAATATTGCAAGCAAAATGGTTTCACCTGAAGAAAAAAAGAACAACAACATTAACAACAATGATAAACAAAAGAAATAAGAACAAGAACGAAGATGCTTACAGAAACAGAGGGGTTCACAAAATCAAGTTAATGAAACTTAGCAATAAGTATCAAGTGCTTACCCCATAGGAGGAGTGAGGCTGAAACCATTGGTCAGCACATTCCGCCTAGCAATCTGAGCAGCGGTGGTATCTAATGAATCATTTTTTTAAATGGTCAGTACTCCCAATATTTCATTGAAAAATGGTAAGTCAGTACTCCCAATACTCCACTCCCAATGAAATTTACCGTTCTAAAAAACAACAACCAGAACAGTTCCAGAAAAAGTTTAACTAGTTCTGGAAATTGTGTTAAAGCTTGAAGAAGATGAACAATAGCGGGTACTCCAAGAACAACTCAGAAAAATCTGAAAATACTCATGGACATTCCCCTAGTGATAGCAATCCCCTTGCAATTAACCGTTCTAAAAAACAATGAACAGAACAACCCCATAAAAAGTTAAACTAGTTCTGGAAATTGTGTAGAACTTGAAGATAAACAGTAAAGGACAATCCAAAACAGCCCAGAAAATGATCAAAAAAATCCAGGAGGTAGTCAAAGTAATGACGATCAGTACCCAATTGTTCGTTTTTCAAAAGAATGAACAGAAAACTCCCAGAAAAAGCACAACCAGTTTGTACCTGCACATAAACACTGCAGCAATTTGAAAAGGGAGCAAACTGAAAACTTACTCCAAATTGACGAATCATGTGTCTATAGCTTTGTTTGAAGCAAACGATCTCCAAACAACTTCCAGGAGTTAGAATGAGCGTGTCGTTTGAGAGCAACGAGCAAAAACCCGGTCGCCTGTGAACAGTACTGCGCACCAAGGGTTATATTCAAGCTCCCACAAACCAGCTCCTCCGGTGACCAGAAATTGGATGGGGAGGTGCGCCCAGTAATAGCGACCCCCAACCCAAGCTTTGATTTGAGAATTAAACGTCACATATTGAATCAAAGATGAAATCCCAATTTTTTTTGAATAGTAAAAACAGTAAGTTTTGACCAAAAATTCACCAAATCTTCCAAAATTAATCGATAAGAATGGAAGAGGAATGAATTGTGACCTGCAAACACCAAGAAAAACTGAGATTAATCGATGGAATCAAAGGGAACGAGTGCAGCAGTTGTTCGAGCAAGCTAAGGAGAAAAAGACCTTGGAGGGAATTTTCTCGCCTAGGGAGAGAAGCTCTCATAAGCGGACACTTGCTTCCGAAATTTTTACGGAGAGCTCTTTCCCATTCCCATAAAAAATGTTTGTGTCAATATGCAATGCTGGAGTATTTTAGTTAGAAAATAGTGACACATTTGTGTTAGTAATAGTATTATATCAGAAAGTGTCACTATAAAAGTGTCACTGTAAGCCATATTTCTAGTAGTGCTAGTGTCACAAATACTTAGCCTTATCTCTATGATTTAGCGTTTTCAGCGAAAATAGAGCACTTTTAGCATAAATACAGTGTACTTTAGTAATTAGGAAATCATCCCTTGATATTTTGAAACCAGCGCCTGAAGACAAGTTTTATAACTCGGTAAGATCTTTCCAACGAGATAATAAACGCTTTCAACGGCACAAAATAGAGCAAGATATGATTGCATCAAATTCTACACGAGTTCGGAGTGAAATCAAACACATTTGTGAATATATGGTTAATCTGTAACTTTTAATTAATGCATTGTAAATGAAGTTGGAACAATAGCTTTAGAGCTCCGATCTATCTTTCCAACGAGATATAATACGCTCCAAACGGATAAACACACAGCAAGATATGAGTGTCACAAATACTTAGCCTTATCTCTATGATTTAGCGTTTTCAGCAAAAATAGAGCACTTTTAGCGTAAATACAGTGTATTTTAGTAATTAGGCAATCATCCCTTGATAGTTTGAAACCAGCGCCTGAAGACAAGTTTTATAACTCGGTAATATCTTTCCAACGAGATATTAAACGCTTTCAACGGCACAAAGTAGAGCAAGATATGATTGCATCAAATTCTAAACCAGTTCGGAGTGAAATCAGAAACATTTGTGAATATATGGTTAATCTGTAACTTTTAATTAATGCATTGTAAATGAAGTTGGAACAATAGTTTTTGATCTCCGATCTGTCTTTCCAATGAGATATAATACGCTCCAAACGGATAAACACACAGCAAGATATGAGTGTCACAAATACTTAGCCTTATCTCTATGATTTAGCAATTTCAGCGAAAATAGAGCACGTTTAGCGTAAATACAGTGTATTTTAGTAATTAGGCAATCATCTCTTGATATTTTCAAACCAGTGCCTGAAGACAAGTTTTAGAACTCGGTAGGATCTTTCCAACGAGATATTAAACGCTTTCAACGGCAGAAAATAGAGCAAGATATGATTGCTTCAAATTCTACACGAGTTCGGAGTGAAATCAGAAACATTTGTGAATATATGGTTAATCTGTAACTTTTAATTAATGCATTGTAAATGAAGTTGGAACAATAGCTTTAGAGCTCCGATCTATCTTTCCAACGAGATAAAATACGCTCCAAACGGATAATCACACAGCAAGATATGAGTGTCACAAATACTTAGCCTTATCTCTATGATTTAGCGTTTTCAGCGAATATAGAGCACGTTTAGCGTAAATACAGTGTATTTTTGTAATTAGGCAATCATCCCTTGATATTTTGAAACCAGCGCCTGAAGAAAAGTTTTAGAACTCGGTAAGATCTTTCCAACGAGATATTAAACGCTTTCAACGGCACAAAATAGAGCAAGATATGATCGCATCAATTTCTACACGAGTTCGGAGTGAAATCAGAAACATTTGTGAATATATGGTTAATCTGTAACTTTTAATTAATGCATTGTAAATGAAGTTGGAAGAATAGATTTAGATCTCCTATCTATCTTTCCAACGAGATATAATACGCTCCAAACGGATAAACGCAAAGCAATATATGAGTGTCACCAATACTTAGCCTTATCTCTATGATTTATCGTTTTCAGGGAAAATAGAGCACTTTTAGCATAAATACAGTGTATTTTAGTAATTAGGAAATCATCCCTTGATATTTTGAAACCAGCGTCTGAAGACAAGTTTTATAACTCGGTAAGATCTTTCCAACGAGATATTAAACGCTTTCAACGGCACAAAATAGAGCAAGATATGATCGCATCAAATTCTACACGAGTTCGGAGTGAAATCAGAAACATTTTTGAATATATGGTTAATCTGTAACTTTTAATTAATGCATTGTAAACGAAGTTGGAAAAATAGCTTTAGAGCTCCGGTCTATCTTTCCAACGAGATATAATACGCTCCAAACGGATAAAAACACAGCAAGATATGAGTGTCACAAATACTTAGCCTTATCTCTACGATTTACCGATTTCAGCAAAAATGGAGCACTTTTAGCGTAATAACAGTGTATTTCAGTAATTAGGGAATCATCCCTTGATATTTTGAAACCAGCACCTGAAGATAAGTTTTATAACTCGGTAAGATCTTTCCAACGAGATATTAAACGCTTTAAACGGCACAAAATAGAGCAAGATATGATCGCATGAAATTCTACACGAGTTCGGAGTGAAATCAGAAACATTTTTGAATATATGGTTAATCTGTAACTTTTAATTAATGCATTGTAAATGAAGTTGGAACAATAGCTTTAGAGATCCGATCTATCTTTCCAAGGAGATATAATACGCTCCAAACGTATAAATACACAGCAAGATATGAGTGTCACAAATACTTAGCCTTATCTCTATGATTTAGCGTTTTCATCGAAAATAGAGCACTTTTAGCGTAAATACAGTGTATTTTAGTAATTAGGCAATCATCCCTTGATATTTTGAAACCATAGCCTGAAGACATGTTGTATAACTCGGTAAGATGTTTCCAACGAGATATTAAACGCTTTCAACGGCACAAAATAGAGCAAGATATGATCACATCAAATTCTACACGAGTTCGGAGTGAAATCAGAAACATTTGTGAATATATGGTTAATCTGTAACTCTTAATTAATGCATTGTAAATGAATGTGGAACAATAGATTTAGAGCTCCGATCTATCTTTCCAAAACTTGAGCCGTGCACATGTGCACTGTGCACATTGTAGCATTGGAGATGCTCTTACATATAGCAATGAAGGACGATTATGGCTGGGTCAATAATTGCAATTTGATATGAACATGTAATTTACAATTATGCCATTAAAGTGGGCGGCAAATTTCCCTCCCAAAACTGTAGCAACAGTGCTAGTTTATATTATATAAAGATGTAGCAATGATGGACGGCTATGGCTGGGTTCAATAATTGCAATTTGATATGAACATGTAATTTACAATTATGCCATTAAAGTGGGCGGAACATTTCCCTCCCAAAACTGTAGCAACACTGCTACTTTATATTATATAAAGATATGTACTAGTGTATTGTGTACTGAGGTAAAGGGCCCATGAGGCCCAGTCTTTGTATAACCCTGACTATCCTCTATTTAAATAAGGTTTACCTATTGGAATAAACACACCTCTTTCACTTCCCTACAACACGTTATCAGCATGTATGCTCTAAAAACCCTATTTTTTTCGTTGAGCATCGTAGCCAACCCCTCCAGCCCTCAGCTCTCTGCTCTCATCCTCAGCTCTCTCCTCTCATCATCATCAAACGTCGAGGTTGCCCTATCCTCTCCGCTGCTATCCAGTTCCATCCGAAGCAATCTACCAACTTTGAGGTACTTTACTAAAACAATACTATATTGATAGCCCTATAATACTTATGCGTATGCATGTGAAGCAATCAATTACAATCTGATTTTACATTGACTAAACCCAATTAGATGATTCTGAACGTATGTATGTGCATGCGCCGTAGATAATCAATTATTTGCGATCATTGATTTTTCTTTGATTAAGTTGTCATTTTTTTAATTAAATCTATTTCTCGCGTACCAAGTGTTTGATGTTATGCCAATTTTTTTAAGATCGAGATGCAATTTTTGATTATAATTCTGTAATGCTATATGTTATAATCATATGGTTGGAATCAATATCATACTATGCATCATCTTTCCGTGTATACATACATGTGATTATATTTTTCCGTAAAGCTATATGCCATATACATATAGTTGGAATCAAAGATCAGACAAATTAACCATATTTTCATTTACTTTATATGATTATACTTTCCGTAAAGCTATATGTTAAATACATATAGTTGGAATTAAAATCATATTATGCATTTTTTTACTTTTACTTTATATGATTATACTTTCCGTAAAGCTATATGTTAAATACATATAGTTGGATTTAAAATCATATTATGCATTTTTTTACTTTTACTTTAATTTATACTCCCTCTGATTCCAAAACAAGTTCCACATTTGACTTCACACATATTAAGAAAATAAATTTGACTTTACTGTGGAGTGCACTGTTTGAACACTGTTTGACACTGTTTGACACTGTTTTGATGTAGATAATAAGGAAATGTTTGAAAATGGAACTTAATTTTGAATCTGCCCGAAAAGAAAAGGTGGAACTTGTTTCAGAAACGGAGGGAGTATGATTATACTTTCCGTAAAGCTATATGTTGAATACATATAGTTGGAATTAAGATCATATTATGCATTTTTTTATTTTATACATACTATGTGATTATATTTTTCCGTAATGCTATATGTCACTTACATATAGTTGGACCCATAATCACGTAAGATTACTATATCATAATACTAAATAATGAATGAAACCAATTTTATCCCCTCTATCTTTGCAAACGGTCATTTATAAATGCATAAATGATAAGTTCCTTCTATACTTGTAATGCTTGTTGAATAATTAAATGCTATTTGTAGTATTTATTTTATAGATGGATTGTACGTTTGAATGATCATGTGCCATATATAATTGTACTGCATATTTTTTTAGCTAGTAATATATTAATGTGACTCTTGAAACATGATTGTTTGAATGTTGAAATTACGACATGCATAAATCCTTGTTTTATTGTTGTTTCCTTTTATACTTTTCCCGTTTAATAAATTATTTTTCTATGCACTAACTAGGTTTGATCGATTATATATGGAATACTTTCAGACTTAGTAACATATTTATTAGCACATCTTTCCTTAATTTCTTTTATGTGTTTTACTATTTACACACCACTACCACCCATTAAATGTAAATATTTTTGGGCAACTTTATTTGTTAAACACTATTA